CCATCTTACGGTTTATACGAGAAGTACCTTTCACAACGAAAGAAAGAGACAAAACGAGAAAACGAGTGGGTGAGTGAATGAGAGAGAGAGAGAGGGGGGGGGGAGAGTAATGGGAAAAACCATCTATCTCTCGCATTTTCATATATATATATAACATTTAAATAAAATATAATAGAAAAAAATAATTTAAATTATTGTTATAATTTGTACGAATAAACATTCGCGTGTACACGTTTTAATTAAATTAATTAATGAAATTTCGGTCATAATTTTATTTCCCTTTTTTTTTTTTTTTTTCTTTGATTGAAACATTTTTTTATTTTTATTACGATTATTATTATTTGTTTTTTTTTCTGGTCCTTTCTTTTCTCGTTTACTTTCTTAAGAGAGGATAAAATTCATGAATAAAGAATGAATATCGCTTGGAAATAAAGTGCCATACTTTTTATCTCTCTCTCTCTCTCTCTCTCTCTCTCTCTCTCTCTCACTTTCTCTTTGGTGCGATCGTTACGAATGGAAAAAGAAACGTTTAAAAGTTATATAATATATACAATAAATTTAAAATGCCGTGCTTAAAACAGATCCTAGAGATTTCTGAAAGTATCAAATTTACACGTTAAACCTCTCTCGAGCTGTTTTTTTCTTTCAAAGCACAGTTTCATTACACCATGCCACGTGTACCGATTACGGGGACGACACTCTACTGAATTTGATGAATATGCAAATACAAGTCTATATTTTTTTTTCTACCTTTTTTTCGGGAGAAAACTTTGAAATTTATATTAAATTTATTTATTCGTATAGTCAATGTTGTGAAACTATAAAATGAACTTTGTGCAATCTCAAACGAACAAAACAATATCCTATAATTTTGTATTACAAAAAATATATAAAACACAAGAGAACAATAAAAAAAAGAAATATTTAAAAATTGCTCAATATATTATACAACAATAGTATAATCATTTAAAATACACGATAATTTAAAACAGTGACGTTCAAACAATTGTTTTTTCAATATATACTTTATCTTCTCTATTAACCGACAAAAATATCTACACTTGACCGTAGAAAACGAGGTTCAAGTAAGTATTTATGTACAATATATGAAATGTTACACGTGGCAGAAAACGTGTTAAGAAAGCTAAAGTAATATTTCGAAAAGAAACCATGAGAAGGAAAAAAAAAACCCGAAAGAAGAAGTAATAGAAAATAATATGGTGGTATGAGTTTATGGTAGTTACGGAAAGGTTTTATCGTTTTTCTTTTTCTTTCTAACTCTCTTTCTCTTATATTTTTTTTCTTTCTTTCTTTCTTTCTTTCTATCTATCTTTCTCTCTCTTACACACGCACACAATTTCTTTCTAACACCTACACAAACAAGCATAGCAAGTATATTCCCAAGGGAGTCAACCATCACTATGACCAATGCTAAGGACGGCCTTGACACAAATTCGCTTCCTTTCTTTTTATTTTATTTTTTTTTTCTTACTCTTTCTCCCTGTCTCTTTCTCATTCAAACAATCTTTTGATATTAACAGGTTACTTAATCTTTCTACTCTCTTCTATCGTATTTATTAATAGACCGGATAAACGTGCCCGTTTGCGATAATGTTAAACCGAGCAACCAGCAACATTGATAAGAGAATGAAAAAGTTGTTTGATTAAAATTACAAGAAGTATTTATCGATTTTAGATCTTAACAATCGAATTAAACTAACATTCTAATGCTAACTTAATACAATAGAAAAAAAAAAAATCAATTATTCTCGTTAAATAATATTATATGATTTTTTTTCTACGTGAATTGTTTCAAAACAAAATTCACGACTTACGTGTGTGTACGTGTATTGTATTCTAAATAAAATTAATACATTATCGTAATAAATATACTAAATCAATTAATTATATTATTTTCTCGCGTTTAACTATGATTAAATCATAATGCAAAAATAACACGATCCTGCTATATGCACACATAAACGATAAATTATAATATTTAAAAATTAATCTACCCCAAAATAATATATATATANTTATTTATATAATTTTATATATATATATAAAAACATGTACACATATATTTTTACTTGTATCAAAGTTAAAATAGAAATAAACCTCAGAAAATACAAAAATAGGATTCACGTTAGGATGCGTGGGAGAATTTAGATATTCGAGACTAAAGGGGCACATACACAAAGTTAAAAAAAGAAAAACGATACTGCTACCAAATCAATGCGTAAATTTTCCATATATGCCAATATACAAAGTGTTCCATTATATTTCTAACAAATTTTACCAACATATTCTATAAAGTAAAAAAAAATAAGAAAGAAAATGTTTTACAAACGATTCACATTATAAAGTTATCAAAAATAATAAAAAAGACATTCCCGATATTTATTTGACTTTTCATCTAAACGATTAACTGCACAATCTTTTTTGTAGATTTTCTACAAAATGAATTCTAATCAAAATTGATATGAGATATTTTATTGTTATTTCATCAACATTGATAAATCCAATTTAATGGTTATCCAGTAGATAATCAATTCCTCGAACCCCTACCACTAATGGGATTTTGTAATTGTAGAAAAAAAAACGAAAGAAAAGAAATTTATCAAACACAAAATGAATATGCATCGGAAAAGAATGCAAAGAATTCGTGACGTTCTTATATTGCAATTAAAAGGAAAAAACTGAAAAGAAAATAATAAATAATGTAATAAATTTTAATTCTCCTCAGATACCAAGTACTGGATTCACAATAAAAATGTAAAACATTTTTAAACGATATTACAATTTAGAATCCATTTGATCGTATTTGTAGAAGATATTTTTTCTTAATTTTACTTATAAAATATGTTGATATAATTTTATGCGAAAATAAATGGGACACGCTGTATACATACGAGTGAGTTAATGTATGTGTATATGTGTGTTATGTGCGATATCAAATACCTTCAAAAAATTCTTTAAGTGTAAATGGGTGTGTGTACATTACGCGTGTATTTCAAGTAACTATCAAAGGAAAGAGATAAAACGGCAGCAAGGAATGAAACAGGAGCACTGACATTCCAATAGCATGTTCGCACTTTATATAGAAAGAGAAAGAAAATAGAGAGAGAGAGAGAGAGTAGAAATGTGAGGAAGTGTTGAAAGTGAGAGAGAGATAGAGAGAAAGTGAAAACCTTGACGTTTTATTTCATTTCTTGTATAAATAACTTTTCTTTCCAAATCGAACCTTCGAAATAATCCAAAGAATTTTAAAATAATAACTAAACGACGAATAGGTTATTAACAATTGTTTAAATATATTAATCAAATTATTGATAATTAATCAATCATTAATCAAATCTATAATTATCACAAATGTCAACAGATATCTCGAAGAAAAAAAGTAAACGTTATGTTATGCTAATTTATATTATTATAAATGAATATTATTTAAATCTATACGATAATTTTTATTCGAAAAATATGTCATGATATCTCTATAATACGATAAGATATAAATTTATAATAATATTTTACATTAATAATTGTATTTTAAATAAAACAATTAAAAGACAATCATTTGATTAATTTATTTAAACTTAATTATTCGTTGCTCTAATATTATACTTAGTTTTATTTATATAATATAAAAATAGAACACACCATTTTAATTTAAATTTCATTGTAATTACACAGAAAACTAAATATTTGGAAATAATTGAGAAACATTGTTATTTAAATTATTACTTATACGACGCCTATTCGCGGATTTGAATTTCGCGGTAATCGTTAGAATCTCCCGCCCCATTTTATTCTACATTACACCACACAACAAAAATTAAATATAACAATAATTTTTCTTTAACGATACCACATAAAAAGAAAAATAATATTAACAAATTGTAAGAAATTGAAATTTTTGTCAATTGAAATAATATTCATATATTTCATTTAGTATGCTAAAAGATTAGAAACCATTTTCGTAACTCGTAAAATCTCTCTATTATGTGCCTTATTTATCCAACTAATAACAAGGAATGAACAAAGAATTATGGTTACAAAGGCCACGTCGTAACGATGCATATTAGAGAATGACATACTAGTCTCATTAAGATTATCCTTATCATTGACATTACATACGTAGCTAGAAGATAATAGAAGTAAAAAAGCAATGATGAATGGGTCAATGCACTACTCGACACTTCTAACTGTTTTATCCTTAGATCTCATTGTCAAGGATCCAACGATAATCTTAATTATACCTTACAAACTTACTATACAAAATTATAAATAAAAATAATTAAAAATAATCTAAAAATCGATTAAATCAATCGAATTATATGAAACGATGACTATATTTATAACAGACAGTTATTTGGATTTTTTATTTAATTAATTAAAATAGCAAAAGTGTAAGATAATATATTTTTTTAAATTATATATAAATTGCTGATTATTGAAAATATTTTATCCAATATACATATTTGTGTTTATATTTTATATAATAAATATTATAAAAGTAAAATCAAATATAAATATAACCTATATTTTTATATTTTTTTATTATAGAAAGAAAAACAATATGGTCACCGCTTAAATAATTGAAAATTTTACACGATTATGAGTGAAAATAGAAAAAAAAAAAAAAAAAAACCGCAAAAGCAAATTAGAAATAAAATTGTTCTAGAACCGAAGAAGGATGGGCGTGGTTTACTCAACGAACGTTGTTTCCTGCATGACAACGCATGGACTAATAAAAATTACAAAAGTGAATACGATTAGATCGATATTGAAATCTATGGAACGTGATCGTATTTTGTTTTTCTCATTAAATACAAATAAATGAATTATAAGTAACAAGTAATACGAAACTCAAAAATCATCCTCTCGTATAATTGTAATACAAAATTTAAGATAATCGTTGGATTATGATATTAATTAAATGAGGAAAAAAGAAAAAAAGAAAGAAAAAAGAAAAAAAAGGATGGACATAAATAACTTACTTCGGTGGCTAGCTTCCCTATCGACGCCATCTTGACAACAACAACGATGGTCGTCGAACGAAGATTTTTCAACTACCTGCTCTCCACACGATGAATACACTCCCCTTCTCCCTCTATTCTTCTCTTAATACCTTTCAATAATCCTTTCTAACCTCACTATTGTTAATTTTTTTATTTATGTTGCCGAGTTTATAACCTTTCAATCGCACCACAGGACACCTGTTGAAAGACTGAAGTATATAATAATAAAAGGAGAGAAAAAGAATATTAGACTCTTTTTATTTTTCTATCTTCTTCTATTTCACTCTATAGCCATTGTTAAAACACTGACACGTAGTAAACACACGCGATTAACTGATATTACTATGAATATATGTTATTATTAATTGATTAAATCAACGGAATTACGATAGATAAAAGAAAATAAAAATCTCTCTTTTGATTTAAAATAAAAAAAAAAATACCAGTTACACCACAGAGAGAACAAACACGTGCTGACGTCACACCAGAGACCTTTTATACACGATACTACGAAGAGGACGAAGATATCTCGAGGTACTGAGCACTATCGTACCCCCACTATTTACTACCTTACTAGACCGGACCGGCACACACAAGTCCCTCTCTTTTCGTAATCACTCGGCTATCTTCGGCTCAATTCGGAACGATCGCCGATTTCTATAGGCCGACGAACTCTACTCCCCCACTATTCCTAGTTTCTCTCTCCCCCGCGCATTATTCATTGGACACTAGCGGCCGCGCAAGCGCACTTGTGCCATCTCGCGCGAAAATGCTTTTCTTTTGATTTTGAAATGTTTCTTAAATTTATTTCAATTTAATTAAATTCCTCTATTAATTCATTAAATAGGAGAATTATTTAACAATAAATTATTTATATTTATATAATTTATTAATAGGTTGTTTATATATATATATATATATATATGTAATTAGAAAATGAATATAAAGTTAATTATAATGATTTTATTTTTTGAAATTTGATAGGTAAGAATATTTATTTCTGATTAATAATAAATATTGTATTAAATAAATAATCGGTATATATATGAATATTTTGTTCAGTATTAATAATTAATTATATTAGTAATAGAATATTGTTTATTAGATTAGAATCCAATAAATAATTTTTTAATGAAACATGAAATTTGATGTATTAATTGGTATAATATTAGCTACTTTTATTAAATATATGAATACTTATTATTTATTTAAAATATTAATGAAAAATGTTGAAAAATACTGACCTAATGGGAATAAAATTTTAGAATTCGCATGAATAACGATGAATTATTAGATCTGAAGTAATCCAGGCAAATGACGTACCCTATGCACTCTGGTTACTTGACGAGAAGAGTTTGTTCATCCTTTTCGCGCTCTCTCCAGCTCGTTAGAAGAATCCACTTTAATTTAGGACAAATTAACCTCCTCGAAGACATATGCCCTCGTTGATCCCTACCACTTGATCCTACCAAAGAAATATATAGATCTTTACACGAAATTTTCTAAGCCAAACCAAAAAAAAATCCCAATAAAATATTAATTTGAATTACTATTGATATTCATATATTCATACTAATTATTAATTATTTATTTGAATTCGTATCTTCATCTAATTACAATTCGGTAACTGACAATTATCCTCGTACAAATTCGGCTACATGTATTATTACGCACACACATACCAAGTTCAAAATTAATATAAATAATTTATATACATACATTATTTTTTAATCGTAAATTTAAGTAATGTTTTATAAAAAAAAAAACAATGCAACAAATTAGGCTACGTTATATAGTCAAGTTCAAAACTTAATTTAAATATTTTCCACACATATATTATTTAATTACTTTTTTAGTCAAAAAATTCGAACAAATTGGATTACTTACATCTACCACGTAAATCAAAATCAAAATAAATTGAAATACGTGCACATATTGTTTCGTTATATTTAATCGTAAATAAAAGTAATTTTTTTCGTCACGTCAGTACATAAATTAATTACCTGTTACACTAAGGAAGAAAGCTAACAATTTTTTCATGCGGAAAAAAAGAAGATGAGAGAAGAAGGGTCATCAATCATTGTCATCACACTTGCTTTTTTCTCGCGCCATTAAGCATGTACCTCTAACTTGAACATTTTCAACAGTTTTTTTCTCCCACAATTCAGTTGTACATTTATTTTTCGTTTCGTTCAGTTTAACCAGCACATTAATCTTTATTGATGCGTAAATGTCAGTGCAATGTTTATTACGAAGTACGTACAATCTAAAACAAACAAAAAGTATAGACTCTAGGGAGGAAGAAAAATAACACTAAATGAAAAATAAAAAAAGAAAGAAAGAAAATAGAAAAAACAAAATAACGATGAATTTCATTTACACATATTTGTAGTAACAACAATATTATATTATCTATTTTCATAAGTAAAAAGTTCTCCCCCTAAAAATGATATAAAACAAAGTTACTTTGCTCGTTCTGCGCAAGGTGTTCTACGCAAGCGGTTAAATTTAAAACAAAATTTATAAATAATACCAATTCTATGTTTAATTATTCAAAGAACAATTGCGTATTTTTGCGTAAGGAACAAAGTCCTTAGAACAATACTAGCTTTACCATGATATTTTCAATCTTTTTCATGAACCCAACTGTTAATACAGCACTACCACATGCATATGAACATCAATGGAGGATTGTATTAGTCGGTAAATCCATTTCGCAAGTTCGTGTTCAAGCTGACAAGAACGGAAAGGGATAGAATAGATAGGTGTACGGTAGACCTATCGTTCTAGTTCGAACGTTCAAAACTTCCCTCGTTATCCTCGATGTATGACGCTTACAATGTGAACGATAACTATGTGCATAAATGTTTATACATGTATTTGTATATATATATTTCTCCATGTGTTTATATACAACAGTATGCATGCAGGTTAATGCACACACCTATGCATAAATGGACGAGGACGAATGCAGTTGCATCGTGCATCGTCGATGTTCTCCCCTGTAAACAGGAGTTTGTTCTCGCGAACGTCATCGAATTGAAATAATGTCAAGGACGGAAGCACGGTAACCAATCGTTATCATCGAACAAATTTGTAAACCGTTCATGCAGAAAATGTGCATCCACGTTTGGATAATAGTCGAAATATCTGGAACATAAAAAGGGGGAAAGAGAGTTGTCATATCTTTTTGTATTAAATCGATTAACCGAGTGTCAATAATTTTTGTTTTCTTTATACAATTATATTTCTATTTGTTTTTTTTTCGTTTATACCGTAATTCTGTATAAAATAATTATTAGTTATTGATATTATATATATTGGTATCATAAAAACCATCTTGCTTTAATAGAATGCATCGAGATTAATGAAAATATGCATGCAGTACGTAAATATTTATATATATAACTATTATAATAAATTATTTATATTTTTTTGGGGGGTATTTTTCGTTGGATTTATATTAATCGTATTTATATCCGTAAGATAATTATTATTAATTATTTCTATATTTGTGATGTTAAAACACCATCTTGTTTCTTATAATGTATTGAAATAAATGAAAATATGTATGTGCAACACGTATAGACGAACTATAATATATATTTGGAAAACGATATCGATCTGATGTCAAAATAGATTAGATTGATCTAAAACGAAATGTATGAAAATTCGATAAGGTTAGTCACAGGATTTCCTGACTTAGACGCCGAATAAATCAAAATCTGTCTGATTTAACGATTGGTATTTGTAAGTAGATATCTGATTTGAAATAATATAAGGATATTCTCGTGATTGATTTTTATCGTTATAAGTTTCTAAAGAATAGAAAATAATAGATGGAGGAATATCTTTGCGGATTTTTTTTTTTCTTTTTTTAATCTATACAGTGTCGAAAAAGAAATTATCAACGCAAACCATATTTTATCTTAAAACGTTATCTGTAAATTTGTATAGCGTAAAGATTTCTTATTTAATTGTATTATTAAGTGGACACGCGTAATTCACGCTTATTAATTATTTAACAATTATTTAATATCATATATTTTTTATAATAAAAATTAAATAGTAATTTTTTATTTTAATAATTTCAATATTAAATAAATTCTAGACTACACTAACAACGAGCACTTTTGTGCGTTTTCCCATTGTTTCTTTTTTATCGTATACCAATTTAATATTTAACTTAACGAAAAAAAAAGAAAAAAGAAAATAAAATAATGTAAATATTTTTGTGACAACATTTTTATGAAGAATAAGAAAAGGATATTATATAAGCTTTCTTGAAAATACTCGAAGTTGAACCGAATGAAAAGAAAGTAAGGAATTAAAGGTGACGTCAATTTTGCTATGAGACCGCTCGTAAATCTACAGATAACAGTAGCTACGTTGTAAAATGTCGAGAAACAATAGCACCTTCGTGGCGGCTGACGTTCAATAAAGCCATACGATCCTAGCCAATCATGGTCATACGATTTGATTGAAAATTTATTAGTCGATATATAATCCTTTAACTGCAATCTCATCCCCTTTAAAACGTGACCATATGAATCTCCATTATTAAATCATTTTCTTTTTAAATAAGGTGAGTATCTCAATAACAATTTTCAATTCGAAATTTTCTATTCGACATTAATAAACAATCACACATTTCTAATCCTATTATCTAATAATACTAATTACATACAATTAAACTTAATTAAAATATAAATGCCTATAATGTGTTGCATTATCGAACTCTATAATAATTAAAAATGCAACAATTATTAATAATTAACTAATATAATAGAGAGATAAACAATTTAAATAACAAATACGTATTCCGCATTCATTAGCAATATCGCATTTCAAATCCCATGATTATTTAATAATACAAGTTACATTAGTTCGATCTACCCTAAATGCAAATGACGAATTAAAATTCCTATTCTAACATTTATTACACTTTCCAAATTATAATAATTAATAGCACAATCTTCCTCTCTCTCCTCCATTCAGACAAAAAACTAAACGAAAATCAATTATAAAATCGTTCGAAGAACAAAAGTACAATAATAATAAATAAACATCACAATGTTAATTAAAAATAAATATTTCTCATCCATTATCAATATTCTCTTTATAATTCTATTATGATCTAATAAGACGAGTTAAACTGATTTTCTTGTATGGCCCAATATACAGAATACGAATTAGAATTCACAGAGACGTACATTAACAATGCAATCGAACTATAATGTGATTAGATTAATGCCATGGCCTTTTGTCAAAGAAATAGAAATAGAAAAAGAGAAAGAGAGTGAGAGAGAGAGAGAGAGAGAGAAACAGGAAGAGATGGAGACAATCGTTACAATAGCAATCTTTGATTTTAACACAATTTGCAGAAGAGTTGGTACGCGACGACGGTTACGGTTTGTTCAATGTCGTTGCTAGTAGATATCCCACTAAAGCTGGGCGACCGGGCCGATCGATGTGCAGGGATGTGGGTCAGGCATACGCCCGAACCCCCAGGATTTTCATCTCGCTCCTTTCCCCAATGGGTACATGTATTACATATACATATAGTTACATATACATATATATATATTTAAGCATAATACATAAACGCGTTCCTTTAAGCTCACTCTTATTTATGTCTCTTTTTTACTTTGTCATAATTCTTATTCATTTCTTTTATGTGTCAACATATCACCATGTGACATAAAATATATTGTTTAATTTAATTATTGGTGGTATTCATTATTGTTTAATATATACCGATGGTATTAGTTTTTTTACAAAAAAGAAAATAATAATAATTATTACCAATAATAGAAAAGTAACATATCAATGAAAAAGATAAAAAGTGATTAAAATAAAATTAGAAATTATTTATTATTGGCGGTATCACATTATCGTTTAGTTTGGATTCTAAAAGGATTAATTGTTGAAAACCAACAATGAGATTATGATACGGATAAGGAATATATAATGATAACATTAAATTCGATTTAAAAAACTGATTTATAGAATATATTATACTTAAATACGTATCAGAATTACAACAGGATTATCTTAGATGGTAAATGACAATCTCATTTAAAATGGAGAAATCAAAAACTTTATCTCCAGTGCTTTTCTCCTAGCTGTCTCTGCTGAATCGATCCGCAACACACACGTATGTATATATATATATATATATGTACACTCTCGCATTCTCTCTAATATCATCGTCCACAGATGCGTCCATCCTTGATGAATTTCGACGATTAAATTGCACAACTATTTCTCATTTCCGAATCGATTAAAATCTAATACGTATATCTATATCAGCTATTTCGATCGTTTTAGCTTACATAATAATAATAATAATAATAATATAATATTAATAATAATAATAATTAATAATATAGTCAATATATGTCTCGATGATCCTTGATATTATTATTTAATTAATAACTTTTCCATCAATTGCGAAGCAAACGTGAGATTTTTTGTTCTCATCAACCAAAGCAAATTCGATAACCAAAGAGAGACGTGGATATGCTTTCAAGATAGGCATTGACAAAGAATACGTGACTTCTTCTCCCTTTTCCAAAGGACATTCGCCGTTGACTAAATCCTTGCATGCATCTTTATGTGGGTAATCGTAATCGGTAGTAACACCAAATACGGTTACTCTAACTCGTGGTGTCAATTTTGCGGCATTAGAAGCTGTAATATTATTGATATATGATAAAAGAATAATATTTCAATGAAATATTTGCACGATTAAACATTGTTTCCATTGTTCAAACATTAAAAAATTAATTGATTATGATTATTATCGATACTTACCGGCTGTAAATTCCCATTGTGCTTTTAAATTAGTACCTCTGACCAATGAGCAAGGTAATTTATCGCACCCTTCAATTCTTAAGGCTAATGGTTCTGGTTCTCCACTTGCACATTTGATATATTCGGTTTGTATAGATGAGGCAATGCAGAATGCAGCCAAAACGTAAACTGTACAATGACGATAAATAATATTGCAATTCATTCAATGTTACAAATACAGATATAAAGTTTAATTTAATCTAACAATTAAAACAAATTAGAAACAAATTAATATGAGATTTACCATAAGCGAGAAGAGCCATTTTGATGAATTCAGTGGAGATTTTTCGTTGACTGATGACAATGCTTACTCCAATGGAGTATTTATTGCAGCCTAATATCTAATCAAACACACCTGTTTACAAAAAAGATAAGCTTTTGTTCGTTTCAAACACTCGAAATGCACACCTGTGCTTGACCAGCTGTGAGCATTTTTATTGACATAAGTAACATTTTATCAAATAGATTCACGAGGATGAATCAATGATCCATATTAGCTAAAGAAATTGTTTACGTAACTCTAAAACGTGTAGTTAATTGTTCTTTCTCGATTATAGTACCAATAATGATATACTTAAAAAGAAAAAAAAAATTAAACGTTGAGCTAAACAATCGCGCTAAAAAAAAAAAAAA